GCCCAGAAGGCTCTCTGGTCACTTTTTGGAGACCACCGGATTAGTCCGATGGTGCTGCTAGCGGTGGTCACCAGACCATGAGCTACCAGATAGCCGAGAGCCATTGGAGTGTTTAACGGCTAGTTTCTGGTCTGACAGCGCGCGCCATCACCGATTAGTCCGGTGATGTAGTTTGGGGAGCACTGGACAAAGCGCTAGCTAAACATTTACATGTAAAACATTGTCCGGTGATGGCTGTCCGGTGATCACCGAATTCGGTGACTACGCAGATAGCCCACCTGCTCAGCCCAACGACTAGTTCTTGGAGGGGGCTTTTAAATAGTTGTTGCCGGCTATTTGAGAGCACTCTTGGCATTCTAAACAAAACAACACACTTGTGATCGTCCAAGAACACCTCCCTCTCATCTCTTGACTTGTGCTTGATCCAAAGTGAGATTGGTAGAGATCTAGTACATTTGCTTTGGAGCTTTGCATCTAGTGGCACTAGTTCATTGATTATAGGCTGCTAATTTCTTGTTACACTTGGTGGTTGTTGTCACCTAGATGGCTTAGAGCATTTATGCTCATTGAGGAAGAGTTTAGTGATTGTTCTTTGCTGTCGACTGGTGATATTGGAAGAGGTTTTGATCCCACCTCGCGGAGTGCAAAGGGATACTATAGTGGAATGTTTGTGGCTAGTTGGAGTAGACCAAATGATTGATTCGTGTGGCACCTAAGTTGTGGGTCTAGCTTGTGAAGCTAGTTAGTACGAGAATCATCACTTGGGGATTCGCCACAATGAGCATGTAGGTTGCCGGCAAGGAACCGAACCTTAGGGATAAATCTTGTGTCTATCACTTGCCCTCGATGGTTTGCTCACTACACACTTGTTCTTTACATTCCTTTACTTGTGTGTGGTAGTTGTTTGCCTTGTTAGCTCGAGTAACATATTTGTAGTTGTAGTAGTAACTAGTTTTAGTTGCTCTCTTTAGTAGCTCTCTTGTGTATCTAGTGTTCGTACTAGCTTGTGTGGTTGTGCACTAGAATAGGATTCAAAGCTACTAGAATTGAGTACTGGGCTTGCTTGAGTGAAATTAGAGCTAGTGCAAAGTAGTAGTTATTAGGGATTCTTTTTGTACTAATAAACCATTGCTCTAGTCTTGTGTTTTGTAGAGAAAATTTTGAGGCTATTCACCCCCTCTAGCCATCTAGATCCTATTAGCCACCGGAGCAAAGACTTCATCGAAGTCTATTCTGGTGCGCTTCGTGACCAGGCGAGCCTTATGGTGAATGATGTTGCCATCCTCGTCTCGCTTAATTCATGTTGCTTGGCAAGGCCGTCCAGCATTACGTCATAGCAATATGAATCTAGCTTTTGGTATATTTATACCCATTCCACCAAGTCACTTAGTGTGGTTATAGATCAAAGAAGGCAAGCTGGTGGTGATACACTGATGACAAGGTCTAACAACCACATGAGAGCTTAGTGCACACATTCAAGGCATGACATATGACTTAGTACTGACCTAGTGCCTCTATATTTAGGCCTTAGTCAGTGTTGAGCTATGTGCTACTGTGTTCCAATAAGGTGCCGAACTCTTTGAGACTTGTGTAGCTCATTTCCAATGTTGATGATGCTTATGCTTGATGTGAAGTGGTGGTGACAAGTATTTGTGATAAGGGACTCCTTTCTTGGTATAGAAACACCATAATGGATGATGCCAAGATAACCAGGAGAGACAAGTAGCAAGAGGTGAGCTCACTAGGTGACTTTGTGGTACTTGTCTTGCTTGGTAGGAACCATTGTGGTGAGCCTAAGATTATGACTGGGCCACATAAAGCTTAATAGCTAGAAGTTAGCTCTAGCGAGGTGCTCTATTAATTTAAGCCCTCTTTGGTGCATGGCTTCTCGAGGGGCTTCAACTCTAGTTTCTCTGGCTTTTTAGGTGAAGCTCTACCAAACGCTACCTCATAACAACTCCGCAAGAGAAGCTGCGGAGAGGAGAAGCTATTTTTGTACTAGAAATATGAAGCCACCTAAATATTGGTTCTTAGGTGAAGGCATTTGTAAAGAAACACTGCCAAACAGGGAATTAATGGAACGGTAGGGTCAGTTGCATAAAAAACCTACTAGAAGTTAAATTTAGTTATAATCTCTATGTCTAACTCCAATGTATATATCTCTATTCATAGAGCTATCCCATTCTCTTTATATGTGTCTCTCGTATCTTCAATGGACTCTCTATGTTCATTCTCTCTCCAATAGCTTATCAAAATTTTCCTTATGCGAAAGAAATCGTGATAGAACTATGTACCAGGTATTGAAATTATAGTGATGTGGTCACTCTACTAGTGGATAGCGAGAGTGGTGGGTTTTGGGGACAAAAAAAGATAGAGAGTGGTTTAGAAAGTCTATTGGAGCCTGAAATGTTTTGTTTGTAGAGCATCTCTTGGAGATGCTATTCATTCTCTAGAGAGTGGGCTAGAGGCTCCACTGTTACTTTTTTTTTATATTTCTATATACACTTGGTATATATCCACGACAGGATGTATGGACAAAAATTAATACAAAAGTTTTATTGTCCATGATGAATGCTAGAAAGCTTTCTTACGATCCTTCAATTATTTTTTTTGAAAAAAAACTTTGTTAGGACGATTATATTATTCTAGTTATATGTTGATGAAAATAATTTGTCAAGCAGATTATAGAAATTCTTAATTTGTTTTCAGTGGTAGGTTGTTTTACCAAGAGCCAACGTAAAACTCATTGCCCAATTTTGGAAAGCATCATTGCACGCTAAAATATGTATAGTTTAATTTGTCTGAGAACATACCTTAACAGCGTCCTTTAGTGACTTCGATAGTGTGCTGCTGCCATAGACAGCTATCCAAGGTGAGTTGACTGTGGCCATGGGGAGGCACAGGGCCTTCCTGCTGGTGCTGGGTTGGTCTCTCTGCGAGGCCTGCAACGATCAACGGGGATGTGGCGCTCATATATGCATGTTTTTGAGAAGCAGAAGGGGCAAACCGCATATATTAGTTAATGCATTAAAATAAAAACAAAGCAAAACAATTGCCTGGATTAATTATTATGAACACTTGTATTAGTATCAATAATCAAAATACCATCCGGATTAACATTGATTATATATATTATCCCGACTTCTATTAGGGCCTGTTTGCATGCACCCAACTAAAGTTTAGCTAGCTAAAATTTTAAAGTAAAAACTTTAGCCAGCTAAAAGTTTTCTAGCTAAACTTTAGCTGGGGTGTTTGTATGCTCCAGCTAATAGACTCAGCTAAATTTTAACTGACTTTAGCTGGGTTGAAATAGCTAAACCCCGCTAAACTTTAGCTGGGCTGTTTGGATGCCTAGCCGTTAAATTTAGCCAGCTCAAGTTTAGCTGGTGCATCCGAACAGGCCTTTAATATTGATGATATTCTCCACATTTCTATTGATTAATTATCCCAACTTTCTGTTAAGGGCTTGTTTGGAAACATAGCAGCAGCCTTCAATCCTATGTATTAGGAGCTATTGAGGTGGAAAATTAGTTCTTTTTCCACTTCAATCCATCTTCTAGTTGCGTTTGTCTGCATATGAAGTGCAGCCAAATAAGCCAGAGAATTTTTCAATTTTTTTGTTCAGTTAGTCAATTCTCACAATGCAGTATAGTGTATAGAAGAAGATCTGCTCAGCAAAGCATCATGTGCTTACCTGCTGTGCGGCCTTACTGGCCGAGGTCAAGGCAGATAGCACCTTCATGCACTCGCTCCGGCCTTGTATTATCATATGCTGGAAGGCAGCAGCAGATTCGGTGTCGGCCGAATGAACAGATACAATCGAGAGGCGGTCCTTGTCGTTAAGTTTCTCCACGAGGAACCCCATGACCTTGTTCAGCAGCTTTAGCTTTTGCTCATTCATGTCGTCGCTGCCTTCTTTTCTGACGTCGAGCACGGCTACCAGGTCGATGGGGACGCGTTGTTTTCCCTCCAGATCTGACGGCACCTTGATGTGAACCAACACCGGGATGCCTCGGTGGGGCTTTTGCATTGGCACTGGGATAGCATCTACCTTTGCCCAGATTCTCGTCTGCACAAGGCTATTATGATCGGTGGTGGCCTGCTGGGATAGAATCTTTAAGAATTAACAGGGTGTGCTAGAAGAAGATGCATGATAAATTCTAAAAGTTATCATAAATATCAGAAAACATCTAACTATCATTTCAAAAATTTCTAATCATCAAATAAAATAATAACAACTAGGGTTTGTAACAACTAGGATCTCGAATCATAAAAAATCTCTAAGAAATTACTCACCCCGCCATTATAAAATCTGTAGGTAATAAAACTCTCAACCTTAATCAAAATAAAAATAGCCTATGTAACGTTAATCTTCATTTAAATTACCCATATCCTGTTATAAAAAGTAATATAAATGAAAGTCTAAACTTGTATTTAAACCTCTTAAACTATACTTCACAATTTTTTTTTTCGCAAAGAGAAGGAAGCACTAATTCTGCATTTCAATTATCTAGATATATCATGATATATAAAAGCATATTCCAGAATACGTATATGTATGGATCTCAATTACTCAATTTGTCAATGTTGTTATGGAAGAAGTCAATGTATATATTCATGATGTGTGTCATTATGCTATGCGGACCATGTTTAGTTATGCAAATCATTTTAGTTATGTGCAGAGACACTACCAACATTTAAGTTATGCAAAATGCTATAAAGTGTAAGCTCCTAAATTTTCACTTAAACTACTGATCTCCATTTTTATTAAAAATAACCTAAAGTATATCTCAAATTATGCAACCAAATTACCAGCTTTTGTCACTAAAAAAGTACTATGCAAAATTATTTCCAGGCTTTTGTCATTACCAATGCAAAGAAATAATATACCAATGTCATTATTAATACATGAAAATTACCTAAGTTCAGACTTTGAATGATACGTACCATGTTATAATTAACACCAGAGTCAACGCTTGTGGCGTACTTTCCATTTATGATTAGTGGCCGGAGAGGCCACCATTGGTATGATTGCCAAGACAGCATGTATTCAAGCCACAGGTTCCAAAATGGGCAGCCTCCGTTCCAAAATTGAGTTTCTGAAGATTACGGTGCCATTCATACAGCTTATTAATGAGCTTCTCGTCATTTCGATGGTCTTCGTCGTCCGTGATTTCAGTGACGATACGGAGTGCTTGCATCCTCACAATCTCTGCAGCCACCTGGATGGATCCATTCACGCCCTTACGGACCGGGACCAAGGTCCCCTTGCGGTCGATCGAATCAGGGGGGTGACCGAACTTGGCGTGAACCTCGAGCAGGTTGTGGTATTCATAATAATCCTCAGGGATTTCTAAGAGGATGATGAAATTGGTTGCCGCGCTAGGACCTCGGGCGTGGGCCCAGATGATGCCAACCTTCTTGTCATAGGAGATGAAGTTGCAGATGCGAGGGGCATAGATTTCTGACAGAAGCACCTCTTCGTTGCACTTGAGCCTGATCTCCATTGGCTCTATGGCAGAGGTAATCTTGTCGACGATGGCGGTGAAGGCCTGGGCGATCTGATTATTACTATTGCTTTCTTCTCCTTCTACTTTGTCTAAGACAGCGTAGGTGCTGTCGCCTCTGTTGGTAATGGCGTGCATTGCCCTCGCGTTGTGAGCACTGTGAAAGCCGAAGGCGTGCACCGAGCGAAATCTCCAGCTAAGCACGGAGCTCAGGTCCTCGTTGCTGTTGGAGATGACGATAATGTAGCCAGCACGCTCCTCCTTCTCGTCAGACCTCCGACCATACAAGATCTATATATATGTAGCCATTTATTCAAGTCAGAGAAAATAATACATTGAAGAAAATTTGTTTGTTCATATATACATTGAACTACATACATACTAATAACATACATACATACCGATTCGGCCGATTCCAAGTCTCTCATCAAGGGGCTGTTGGTTCTCATGGCCTCCGAGGACTCCACGGCTTCACGGGCCGCTGCCTTGTTCTCGGCGGACATTAGCAACAATCTTGGCTTGATCGGGGCGATAACAGCATCTCCAAAAACAATCTGTGCCTCCTTGAGCAAAGCAGGGACGACAGCAAGCCGGTCCTTGTCGCCAAGCTTTTCCACGAGGAGCCCCGTCGCCCTGTTGACGAGATCATGCCAGTTCGCCGGCGCCGCGTAGCGGATGTGGACATGGAGCACGAGGACAACATCTATGGGGTTGCGCTCGCGCCGCTCGGTTAGTCCAGACGACCCCGTGATGCTCACCATCACGGGGGTGCAGTCGCTGTGCCTGCTTCCTGCTTGCAGCTTGGCATCGTTCTTCACGTAGGCGTTCACTTGTGTCGTGCAACTGTCGTCGCTATGCCCAGTACCAGATGATGAACCCTGCATTACATATTAACTAAGTTTCTTCATGCATGAATGCTCATCCGGCCCTTCAACTATATATTGTACAGTACAAATTAAGAAATTTATTATTACCTCAGCATGCCTATCCGCCATTTCCTAGTCGACCGACGAGCATGTGCAAGCTAGTTGACACGATGAGCTTGCTTCAACTAACTGTGTGCGTGATAGAGATCAAACCAGGAGCATCGCATTTCTCTACCTTTGGAGGGAATGCCTCTTTTTTTTGTGACTTTTAAGGGAATGCCTCTATATATGCCTTAGCTTTATCTGCCTTGCGTCTATTCGCAAGCTAAGAATTATTCATCCCGCTTCTTGGGCCATGCTCCAGCTCCACGAAGGAAGGAATGCTTGAACCCACTTTTTTCTAAAGAAAAAGTGATGGACATACTTTTACAAAATAAAAGCTTCTGCAAGTATATTTGTCTTGTATTATCAGTGATCTCATGCAGTGTCATGGAACTTTTTAACTTATCTTATAGTAATTTCATGATTTTTTCATTTGTGCCAAGAACAAAGTAATGTTTTGGCATCAACAAAACAATAGCGAAAGATTTAGAGCATCTCCAAGGTATTCGAAAAAATAGCTCCCACGCAAAATAATGATTTACTCCCTCTGTCCCCAAATATAAGGTAAGATTTGACTTGGTGCGGTCTTCAAGAATATATTTTGATCTATAATTTCTCTTATAATATATAATTTATAGCAACAAAAGCTTGATCATTAGAAAGTATTTCTAAATACAAATCTACTGTAACTACTTTTGTAATACAATCTTTTGATATAATCAGGGCAATTGTTAGTCAAAGATAACAAAGTTTGAATTTTACCTGCATGTCTCATACGGGGGTGGAGGGAGTACGATGCTACACAATTGGATACCCCAAAAAAGTGCCACGTATAATAGTTACTAAAACTAGTAGCTTGCAAAAAAAATTAAGACGCAACTCATCGGTCTTTTGGTCCTAAGACTTTTATTGATCTATTTCGTGCACAATAAAACCATAGCTGACCTGGAAACAGCCACGATCCGGCCACCAACGGCAAGCCTAGCCAATGGGGGCTGGCCAGTGCACTATGCTAGAAATTATGTTTAAAAAAAGGTCAAAATGATTTCTAGAAGCGGCTAGTTCGTCCGTTTATTCATGTGTCTTTAGAAATTAATGTTTTCTAGAAGCGGGTATATAACCACTTTTACAAATCGATTTTTAGAGACGAGCCAAAATCCAACCGCCTCTAGAAATAGTTTTACATAATTCGTAATTCAAGCCCAAAAAATAGCAACCAAACTTTTAAACCCCGCATAAACCCGCATAAGGTGAACCCCACCATGCATGTTACATCCTTAGCATGGCATCTTAGAGTCATTTGCACTGCTGGAATCTATTTGGTTTCTTCCCTAAGGTTCAAACCCTAGATAAATGTATAGATGTCAAAATGAGCCACACCTAATAGGAGGCACGAGGCCTGGCATGCGATGGCATGGCCCAAGCACAACATGGCCTGTTGGCCATCGTGCCTGTTGATAGTGAAAATATCGCACTTTTACATACTAAAAAACACCTTGGAATAAAGAGAACTAAGCATATCTTGAGCATATTTTAGCAAATAATAAGTTCACATGTTCATGAGCACTTATATGTAGATTCAAGCTAATTAGAGCAAGATGAGCTGGTGGGACCCATATGGGGATGGGTCGGTTCACTACTACACAAACGTTTTTTAGGGGCGGCTCGTAACCCTTTATAGGGGCGGTTTGGTCAGCCGCCTCTAACAAACCGTCTCTACAAATCATGTATTTGTAGGGGCGGCTGGTACAAATCGATTTATAGGGACGACTGTAATACTAGCCGCCCCTACAAATCGATTTGTAGGGGCGGCTGTAGTACCAGCCGCCCCTATAATACCTGTTTGTAGAGGCGGTTCAGTCTAAAACCGCCCCTACAGTATGTTTTCCCGAAAAAAAAAATTCAAATTTACAATTCAAATTCGACCAGAACATTGTTTGTTTCCGCGTATTCCATCAAGCATTCGCGTTGCCGAACGCCCCGCGACCAACGTTTCGAACCGCGTTCGCGTTGCCGAACGTCCCGTGACCAACGTTTCGAACCCCTTAGACTACAAGCACAAGAGTATTATATAAACTACAATTACAAATCCAATTCACAAGAATATATACAATCCATTATTAAATAGACATAATTCACAAGGTAAAACCAATATCAAATTCCATACACATTGTTATCAACGTCCTAGAGCTAGCCTTTCAGTCTCATGAAGATGTTGCTACTGAGGATTTCTACCTAAGTCAGACTCTCGGTCATGGTAGGCGCCTTTGACGTGTACAATCTGGTCCAATATGAAGTTGCAAAGGTCGCCGACGAGCTCTAAGAGTTGGTCATCCTTGTATGGGTCTCTTTTCATTTTTTCTCTTCTTTCCACTACAAGAGAATAAGTTTCGGTTTAGTATTTCATACAATGTACGAAGTTTTTATACTACGGGTGAAGAGGTTCAAACTTACCCTTAAAGGGTGTCTCCTGTAGGCACCGGTGTTACTCATCATAGAACATATATAGTATCCACAATGTACACTCCTAGGCTTTTACTTGGGGCACTGTGTGTTTTGCATATAAAAATGTTAAGTAATGCTTTTGACAGCCATGTAATGGAGTACTGAAGAAGTAAGTTACACTTACCACACATAGTGTTTTTATAGCTAGCTTTTCTTTCCTTGCTGGATCATGCCTTCCGTGATGGTTAGTGACATAGAACCTAAATGCCCTGTTCGAATTATTTTAGCAAATACAACTTGTTAGTATCTAAAAGTGAACGTTATAAGTATGTATACAAACATATAAGCTAATAAAGATTGTCGATATGTATACGTCTTAAGAATTGATATGAAGTCTTTGTATGTCACCGGGTCCCTATCTATTGAATCAAAGACCCATGCCATGCTCCTCCCGACATCGACGGCTATACAAATCCAGTGGTTGCTGCATGGATTTAATCATAGAACTAGATAAGCTCTTTTGCATCGAATAAAATATATCAAACAAAGCTTTAAGTATAGAGTTGAACTTACTCGAAGTTGTATGGTAGCCATATAGTAGAGTGCTGTTAGAGAATTTTGAAAGCCAGGGCAATATATGCCGCAACCTTAAGGGACTCTTCCCTTAGTTTCGCCGTACGGATGTGCTCTTTCTCCCGAAGAGTCTTTGCAGCAGCTAGCTCTTTAGCATCCAGTTTTCACTGTTTAGGGTAATTAAAATTTGTTTGGGCTATAGCTTGAGGGTCTATATACCTGGCTTTCACACTTGGCATTTGTTTAACAATGTGCACTTGCATACAAATCACGGCGTAGGTTGGTTATAACAAAATTCAAAGATTACATTCATATCATATCAGGAGGACAAGAACTTACAGGCACCACGTGCGAATTAGATTCATCTCCATTGCTCCCAGGTGAAAGCATGTCTGGATGTCATTGAAGTCAAAGACAATTTTCCCGGCTGGGCTTCCAAATGTGCCGGTGGGGAAGCATGCTTGTATGAGGTCTATGCTCATTGGGAGAACATGCAAATACCAATCATGGAACCTTCTCATTCCAAGTGGTAGGCGCTGGATGTCTCGGTTTGGTAGGAAGGGCTTGCCTCTTTTATATGTTTTCGGGCAATCCTTTGACCATTTAATGGCATCAATATTTGGATACTGCTTTGTAATTTGGTGGAGTTTGCTAGTGACGGCCTCCTCAGAACCCCGTGATGGGACTTTTTTAACTTGGTCTCAGGCTTGAACTGGTTATAGGAATACCACTTGGACACTGACGAGACGTCTTTCATCGAAACATAAACTGGCCTTATGGTGATTGGATGCTTCTTTCGAAGTTCCCATTCAGGCACGTCCTCATCTTCTTGTGCATCACCTTCTTCAGGAGGCACTCGTTGTTCATGTATCGGCTGTGCTTATTGAGAAGACTGTGGCATCTCATCATGCACTTGCTCGGTATGAGCTGGAGAAGGTTGTGGCATCTCATCAGGCACATGCTCACTAGGAGGCGGGGAAGAATGTGGCATCTCAGGAATGTGGTGGTCACGAGACGGTGAAAATATCTCCCCGACCTCAACAACTCGCTCCAAATTTGGGAGAGGGGGATGCGGCGAAGAAGCAGTCAATATAATGTCCCGTTTGTGCCAGAGGATGAACTGCCCCATAACATCTCCGAGTAACACCAGCCCCTCGGGAGTTGCGTAGTCTATCCTCCACTACATGAACTCAGGCTTCACGGTATGCATCTCGACCCTAGTGTAGTCCGGTAGTATCTTATTATTGTGGTGTAAGCCACCGGGAGGATGTGCCACACCCGTTGCCACCTCCATCACAGTGTTCTGCAGGCCGCTGAGAAACACCAAGGTGCAACTAGTTGGTTCTTGTATATGATCGATAGGGGTTGTGGCTGCAGTGGAACCTTGGCTGCTAGGAACTTTCGGAGGGCTGCCAACTAATGCCAATTCTCCCGGCGACGTCATTAATATCCATGGCTTCGTAGATAGTCCTTGCTCTTTCAACACCTTCGCAACTAGAGCCTACACTTGGAGCTCAAGATTAGTCTCCCGGTCTCTGCCATGTTTCTTGTACTTGTGCCTGTCCTCTTCGAATCCTTACTTCCAGGTCGTCCTTTTCTCTAGCCGCCTGGTGCGCCCTGTGTGCTCCTTGTTTCCCAAGCCAAGGCTAAGCTCGTCCCTCTCTCTAGAAGGATAGGCTAAGCTCGTCCCTCTCTCTGAAAGGATTGAATGAGCCCTTCTCCTTGTCTTCAGCATATTTTAGTATCCTTGATACTGCCTCTTGGGTCTCTGGCTTATCAAACTTAAGATTACCATCGGATGATTCTATACTCCTCGTATATATCCAATTCCTTGAGCGTACCTTCAAATTTATCACATCGATATTCCTAGCAGCTACGGCCTCTTCGTCCATCTTCCTAAACTACTCTTCCTTGGCATAGTAGCCACTGGGGTCTAGATGATGGTGGTGTTTGTTCCTCTTCACCAGCTCGGTGTTACGGGCACTAAGCTCCAATGCCCCCGGTGAAGT